GTACCTCCCCCAAATTCCTCTCATCCATTAATTCTTCAACCACCTGCCTGTTTTTGTCAATTACACTTCCTCCCCACATACTACTATGGGCATTAAAATCCCCACACCAGATCACCCTCTCTCTACTTTGCCCTTCTATCTTCATCATCTCTTCTGATGCCATTTGTCTGCATGGATAGTAAAAATTAATTATTACAACACTCTTGTCATCCTTCCATACCTCAACCACCACATATTCCATTTCTCTTCCTTTCCCCATCATTCTATGCTGTATTTCAGACTTAATAAAAGTAACACACCCACCACCATTTCCCTCTTCCCGGTCTCTTCTCACAGACACATATCCTTTAATTACAAAATCAAATTTAGGTTTCAGCCAAGACTCTTGTAACACATATCACATCTGGCTTTTCCTCCATCTTATTTAGATAACCCTTAAATTCCAATCCATTAGCCACCAAGCTCCTAGCATTCCATTGTAATATTACTAACATCAAGATTATTGTCCATCCCATGATTCTTGACTAGGCTGTATTTCTGAAGTTAGACCATTTCTAACCATTTCCCATGTTAGCCCTTTAATATCCAGGAACCTCTCTGCTGCTCTCACTATTATCTGTATCTTTTCTGTTCTTCTTTCAGTCTGCGCTGAACAATTTATGACCTCTGCCATGAATAACACAAAACTCTTTTTACTTACTATCATTGTGTCATCCAATATACTGCTTCTCTTTCCCTCATTTCTGGTTTGATCTCTCCATTCCTCCTTCTCCTCACTCTCTTTCTTTTTCCTTGAGTCCACTTTTTTAACTGCTTCCAAATATGACAGCTTATTTCCATCTCTTTCCTTTTGAATTTCTACTGCCCTCTTTCTAACTTCACATCCTCCATATGCCACATTATGGGCCCCACCACAATTACAATATTTTGCTTCCACATTCCTTTCACATTTTCCATACTCACGTTCTTCCCCACAATGTGCACATCTCTTTTTGGCTCTGCATACACTTGCACTATGACCATATCTCTGGCAGTTATAACATCTCAGTGGAGCACGCACATAATTCTCTCACCTTAAAGCTAACATATCCAATCATCACTCTACTTGGTAGCGTTCCACTTCTTTCAAAGCGCAACATTACAGAAAGACTTTCTTCCTTATTACCTTCCCTATTCCTTTGCGATCGCTTTGCTTCAATTACATTTCCTCCTTTTATATTCCTCTTCAGCTCTATCATAGTGACCTCCAATGGTCCACCCGCTTGCTTACAACTTGAAATCTCTTGTTTACACACAACCTTCATTTTCATCACTTTATCCCTCTGTTCCTCATGATCACATATCACCATCAATGCTCCATCCTGAAGTACTCTTGCACATTTAATCTCCTCAACTCATTTGTTAATTTCATTTGTTAATTCAATCGGGTTTACTCCTTTTACTCCATGCCCCTCTTTAAATCTCACAATCATTTTTATTTCCTCTCTCCTTCCACTTATTAATTTCCCTTTCCAGTTCAATTAAAGGTATGAGACAAAAGTCTTTTGAATATTTATTTTCCTGCAGGAAAAGGTCTACATTCATACAGTCACTCAGGGTTGGCTGTAGATTGCAACAAAGAGGAAACACCCAACTCAACATTTATACCGTCATCAAATGCAGATGCACTGATCTCATTCAATCATAATGCATATTCAACATATACGTCCATTTAAGGTGCCTAACTATGTCCTCTAGATGTGTTTCTAAGAATTTAATGCAAATCATTTTCTAAGTAGCCAGGACGTCTAAGCTAAAATAACATTTCTGTCTCACACACTTGTCTTGCACACTTACACAAATAGATTTCCTGTTATCTCTCAGCTCATCAAAAATTCAAGCATACTGAAGAAAACTGAAGCACTCAGAGACAGTCTAAAGAACACTCTTTAAGCAAATAATATTAATATTGCAGATAGAAATAAAATTTCCTCCACACTCCACACTTTCTTTTATCATTCTTCGATAACCATAGAAGATAAAATAACATCTTACACACTCTCTGAAAATGTTCTTTCCATGTTTTACACCAGAGGTCATAAATCAGACTTAGGCTGTTTTGCATTAGATATAGATATCTCAATATCTCTCAATCATATAGCAAACTGGTTATCACTCTATTTACGCTCAGTCTCAAACCATGGGCAAGACCTGTTTGAATCCTCAATTTTATGTTCATGCATAAAACGTCCTCCTCTGACAAGGTGTATAACAAATTTTTCTAGACAAACTCTAATACATTTTAAGAAATATCCAATGAGGATCCAATTAATCCTGCATTGTGTAAAGTGATAATTACTGGTAGCATTAACCTAAGAAGTGATCAAAATCATTACCTAACACAGAATGATATAAGTTAGCTATCTAACAACCAAATCTAATATTGATAAACTGCACTTTAATTCTACATGATGTTGTTGTTGTTGTTGTTGATAGACCAGGCAGATAGAGGGGTAAAAAAACTATAGTAATAAATAATGTATTCAAATAATATTAATACAACTAATATTAATGAAAATAAACTATCATTACAAAGGTTAATTTTAGCACCTTTAAGGTTCTATATAGCACTTTCAGAGCATGGTTCTTTATGGAACCCTATAAAAGGGTTCTGCTATTGTTACAAGCTGAAGAACCCTTTTCTGGTAGGCATCTTAAAATATGAATAACTTTCTCCCATCTATTAACTATTGGATCTATATTTACCCTCCGTGACATTCTCTCCTCAAACCAAACTCCCAAGAATTTAAACCATTTAACCCTTTCAATGGGTGCATTATATATCTTTAATCCCTGTTCTGGTTTTTCCCTTTTAAAACCAAATACTACATATTTAGAGTTTGAGAGTGATACTTTGAAACCCCATTCCTCTGCCCAAGTCTCTACTGTATTAATTGCCTGCTGTAGCTGTTTATAGATATACCTCAGATTTCGCCCTCTTTTCCATTCTGCCCCATCATCAGCAAATAATGACAAACCAAAACTACAAATATATCACTTATCATCAGATTAAATAACACTGGACTGATTACACTACCCTGGGGGGGGGTCCATTTACCACCTTTTCCTCACTGGAAAGAAATCCGTCTACTTTTACTTGGATAGTATGATCCTTCATAAAATGATTTATCCAGTTTAACATGCTACCTCTGATCCCTGCATCATGCAGCTTAATCACCAGCCCCTCCTTCCATACCGTGTCATATGCTTTTGCAATATCTAGAAAGACTCCCACAGCTGCTTCTTTATTAGCTAAAGCTCTTTTAATATCTAGATCCAATAATGAAACAGAATCCATTGTGGATCTACCCATTCTAAAACCACTTTGATAAGGAGTAAAGTACTCCTGTTTCTCCTAAATACACAGGAGGAGAGTGGGGTAAGATGAGCCAGGGGGTAAGTTGACCCACCCTCTACCGTGCCAACTGTACACTTTTATTCTCATGTGAGCATGTATTTTGAAACCACCCATCATTTCTGCCAGAAACACACGGGAGGAGTGGAAGGCACCCAGTTACTTTAAAAACTGTTTTTAGCTTGTCAAAGTAACATTTTAGCATAACATATGTAACGGCTGTTACATCAAAGTAAATGTATCCAGGTCTAAAAATATTTATGATGCACATGAGTGATTTAGCAATGCATAAAACCGTGTAAATCATTTAGCTAAATATTAGCCTGAATTAGTAAGCAAGCTATTTTTTTCCAAAATGGCAGCTATGGGGCAAGTGCTGTGGGGTAAATTGAGCCAGCGTTTAATCTTGCCCTACCATAACACACTGAAGTTAAGTTAAATCTCTGAAGTACACACTGCTAGTTTAATGTGATAGTACACAACTGATTTAGTTTAGCACATATACATATTATTATTTGTAGTTTATTTGATAGGGACAGTGTACAAGTTCAGCAAATCCTTCTCTGATAAGAACCAGAAAATGCTTTTCATCACATTATAATCAGATATATCTTTATATATATGCCTGGTCGATACTGCAGAAAAGCTACCATGCCAAGAATCTTTTGACTAAATTGTTCATTAGTTTCAGTGACATTTATTCCTTCATTCTAATTCAAATGGTAAAACAATTGCACTGTAAAATAAATGAAAAAAGAGTGCTGCACTGATGACATCATCATCTCTGCACTTCCGGTCTGTCTCGTATTTAAAGAGTTTCTGCACTTTCACTGTTCATGAACTCTTTCTGTGTGGAAGTGATGAATAAATCACTCTGGATTGCTGCGGTCACATCTGACTCGTTCTTATGACGCTAAAGATTCAACAATGAAATGCTAAATCTCACAAACATCTCAATAAGTAATAGTAATAAACACAAGGGTTATTGTTTGCATGCGTGAGAGAGACAGACTGAACCCTGCGAAGCGTGATCCATGAAGACTGAAGCTCAGGTTACTCCAGGAGATCTCAAACTCTAACCAATGTAATATAAACCTTTGTGCTGATTAAAGCATAAGATAAATACACGCATGCTCGTTATCCTGGCTGTCAGTTTCACAGATTGTCATTCTCTCTTGTTATTACTAGATGAGTTGTATTTCCTCCTCTTCTTTGTTCACACAGTAGAGTATGGTGTGTGTAATATAGAGTACTGGTGTGATGTGAATTCCAGACGCACACATTATCTTCTCTATTTGTGTTATAGGCCATCATTTATAACGTGTGTGTACTCACAGATTTGATCTTAGGCTGTGTGTGCGCTTAAATCCACGCCAGAGCTCATATTTGTAAAAACTGCTGAGCATCACGTCAGGGTCTGAGCAGACACACTTTTTCTTGTCGGAGTGCTGCAGGTTTTTGGAAATGTAAGCTGTTCTTGCAGCTCGCTGTTCTGGATTAAAGGATTTAGACGATGACTGGTGATCTTTTACATGTTAATGACATTAATTAGGAGTCGTTTACAAGCAGAGAGCTGAAACCATTCAGTTCAAGATCATTTGCGATTCATAGATTTCACATCTGAAAGAGAGGCATACATGTGTTTTCACAAAAAAAGTAGACATGACGAATGAGAGGAGCTTCAGAGTGCATGTAGAGAAGAAGATCGCAGTGTTGGTCCCATCCCATTATCCATCTAATAATGAATGTTTTAGTAGAGAAGGATGGTTGGACTATCTTGGCATGGGATCGTGTCAGCTGAACAGGTTCTCCAGTTATTCCCTCGTCTTCTACACTGAGGACTTGCACAGCATCTCTGAGGGAAGCTTCAGACTCTCCTAAACAGATGAACTTCCTCCAGTTTCCCTGAGATCACGTCACGTCCATCACTGGAGCGATTCGGTTGCACTGCAGTCTCTCCAGCTCTGCGTTTGATATGCTTGTTCAGCAGATCTAAAATCACATGAAAACAGATTAAAGTCATGTTGTTGTGACCGGACGTTTCACAGAGAAAGGGAAGCTAGCTAGTGTAAATTATAGCAAATGACATGGTTACTTTTTCAGCTAATTTTTGTGATTTCATCACTAATAACAAACACATTTATAAACAATAATGCATTTTAGTACTATACTTCATATACAAATATAGTGTAAAGATGGGTAATACAATGTAAGGCCAGTGTTTGTTTTTAAACTCATTCACCGTTGCCAATGTGACAAGAAGTTATTTGTAATGCAGGCTATATTTTACCTCCACAAACTCTATATTCTCTAACAATAAGTTTTAAATCAGTGTTGGACAAGTCACAGATTATTCAGTCTTCACTGAGTAACACAAAATAAAAATTCAATCAGTTGCCGATACAGATTTTTACAGTAACTGACCAAGTTTTAAAGCTAGGATAGGCAATGTTTTTCATGATTATTCTGTGTTATACTGGTGGAAAGTCTCTTCACAGAGCAATCAATTAGTAAAGTGATCTATATGGTAATTTTTTAGTATAGGGACCAGTTCTTACTATTAACTAGTTGCTTATTAGCATGCCTATTGGCTGTTTATTAGTCCTTACTGCATAAAGCACATATTCTGCATGAGCATATTCTACATCCCTAATCCTACCCAATGCCTAAACTCAACAACTACCGCACTAACTGTTAAATAGCAGCAGATTAGGAGTTTAGTGAGGCAAAAGCTGTAGTGAATGATGTGTTAATAGTGAGAATCGGCTCCGGCTCTGTCTGTGCGCAGTCATGTGATTTAGAGGAGGCGTGGCTTTTGAGAGAGAGAGCTCTGAAAGAAGAGTGGGATCTATTCAAAGCTAGCTTGCCATTGCTAACCTACACCAAACTGCACACGCTAGCTTTACTGTATGAAAGCCTTGATCTACAGAATGTGGACTAATATTAATAACTAGAACAGATTAATATGAAGAACAGAGCCCTGAACTATTAACACAGTCTGTAAAAATCTGTCACTAAGACACACGGTATATTTCACTCACCTGGTGACGTGTGGATCACTGATGATTCTCACAGGAGGCTGTTTAATATCACACAGAGACACTGAGGAATCAGGATCAACCCTAAATCCAGCACAGAGGGGTTCAGTGAATGTAGTGTTGAGTGTGTGTAAGTGTGTGAGTGTGTGTAAGCGTGTGAGTGTGTGTGTGTGTGTGTCAGAGACGCTGTAGAAGGACAGAGAGCCGGCCGACACGTCCAGATACACTCCTGCTCTATTAGAGGATGAACAGACAGCAGGTATAACAGTGTAGTTATCATTGTGCCAGACAGTGAATCTGTTATTAGAGCAGATCAGACTCCAGGATTTGTCATTGGATCCAAACTCACAGTCACTCCCTCCTTTCCTGTTGATTCCTTTATATGACACTGATATAGCAGCCTTATATCCGCTCCATTCAGCCTCCCAGTAACAGCGTCCAGTCAGACTCTCAACACACAGAACCTGATGAGCAACATCAAATCTCTCCGGATGATCAGGATACGTCTGATGATCTTCAACACGTGTGATCTTCCTGTTCTCATCAGACAGAATGAGTCGAGTGTGTGCTGTGTTTGGATCCAGTGTGAGATCACAGGCCCCT